CCCAGCCAGCATGGCTGGCTGGGGAATTCTGGGAGTTGAAGTCCACACAGCTTAAAGCGCCCAAGGTTGAGAAACACTGCTCTAAAGTCCCTTCTGAAGCCTGACAATGGTGCCTCCTAGGAGGATTAGGTTCTTATCTTAGCATTTCCAGGCAGGAAGCACCTGCTGCACCATTGGAGTATGAAAATGATCTTGACTGGCCCCTGGAATATGGAAATGTTTCACACAGCTGGATTATGAATTGCCTCTCCTACTAAGTAGAAAAAAATTAAGCTCCCTGATTTTCAAGAGAGCTAGTAGTAATGAAATGAACTGGGTGATTCAAAGATGAGCCAGTCATACCACAGGAGAGGAAGCTGAGGCCTTCCTGATACTGCTGAATAACAATTTAAAGCAACCCCCATTCTTGCCCATAGTAGCTAAGGCTGCTGGTAGTCCACCAGCAGCTGAAAGGGCATCTACTAAAGGCTATGATGGTGACCATAGCAAGCAAAACATTTTTTTTATTACCACTGTATTTACACATCATCCAACTGAACTTTTTTAGGTAGTCAAAACCTATTACACTTGGATCTGCAAGAAGAATATATAAGCCACTTGTAATTATCTATTTGTACAAGATGCAGAAATAAAATTATTTTTATCTTATTCATGCATGCAAGATTGTTGATTGTAGTTAGTATCTATTCACTGGATATATCTTTTAGGGCTGTGCAACCCTTTGAAAGATGTGCTTGATAATGAAAGAGAGAGCATATAAAACCCATCTTTTTGAATTGCCTTTAGCTGTCTCTGCAGGCATGTGCCTATCCACAGCCATGTCATGTTCTGTGGTCTTTGTACAGCCTTAATAACTTGGTTTCTGTGATCCAGTTATGATGGAGTACTTTTCATTGTGTATGTTGACAAGATTTCTGGAGAGGTGAGACCCAGACGTTGTAGTGATTACCTTTTGTAAATAAACAAACAAACCTCTCCTGTACTTCACTATAAATGGTTTCCATCCAGACTCTAATACTTCATTCTTGAATAAGGTGCTGGAGTTTGTGAAAACATCCCAACTCTAGGAATCTGTGGGTTATGTGGCTTCTCTAGATCCATTTCAGTTTAGCTTCTGGAGAGTGTTTCAATGCCTCTTGTGGATAATATATACTTGGAACTAGATTGTTGGCTTCAAAGTGGCTTTGATACCATCCACTATGGCATTCTTCTGAGCCACTTAGATGGGATATGACATTGAGAACAATTTTATGGTAGCTTACTTCTTCTCAGATAAGCAATTTCAGAATATGATGCTTGAATTCAACATGACAGCTGTTGGACTTTTCTGTCCTGTACAATTTAACATACATACGAAATCACTGGGAGAGACTGCGTCAAATCTTGGAATTTGCCATTAGTAAACCAATACCTCCAACTGTAAAGATCTTCAAGGGAAGTTCCTGTCTAGCCAACTATAAACAAATATATATTCACTGGGAATATGAGGGAGGGCCTGAAAGGATAAAGTTGCTTAAAAGTTTTGGACTCCCTGCCAAAAGAGACCAGTAGCTCTCTATATGTTGTCATTGTATCAACAGGTTAGAAAAATTATTCAAGGAGACATTTGGAATGCTGAATTAGCAAGATGATTTATGTTTTGTGCTGATACCTGCTGTATTGATTTGCTTTTAATGGCATTTTAATTTTTAAAAATATTATTCTTATTACAGTTAGCTCCCTTGAGTTCTATTTGTTGACAGAACAGAAAGGTACAAATTCAGTAACTTAATAAATCTAGCTTGCTATTGCTCAAAAAGTTAATGGAAGGTTTTAACAACTTCACTCAGGCACTTTTCCATTCAAGGAATGTGTTTCATCAGTTCACCAAAAGTGCAGGAAAGAAAAGACCACTTTGCTCCATTAATGCAGAGAACTGATTTACCCGTATTACAATATTAATTTGTCATACATATTGTTAACATATTTGTATTCTACCTTTCCACCAATAAAGGGGATGCAAAACAGCTAATAAAAACTATGGAAAGAGAATAATCCAAAACACAAATAAAAACACAGTTAAAATATGTAACATATATTAACAACAATCAACATTACGAAGCTCTCTAAAAACAGAAATCAAAGCAAGCCTTAGCATATCTAATTTCTTCATTATGCCAAGAAGCAGGATTTCACCTACCGCATTACAGAAAACATAGTGTGTCCTATTACAGTCTGTCTTAGATGAGAACTATGAAAGTACTAGCCAAGAACAAAATAGAGAAAGAAAAAATATTTTCTCCAGCCAATATCTTACCACCCAGTAGAAGCCTTGAAACACTTAATAGGCTACTGGAGATTTGTTTATACAACTGACTGTCCTGAGACAAAACCCTTGTTTCATTTCCCTCTTCTGCTCATGTACATGATAAAGAAGGCAGTTTAGGATGGAAGCAAGCTGGAAGCCAGAACAGCATCCAGAGACAGATGTTCTCTCAACATTGTTGCTCAAAGTCTGGCTGAGCAGCATGTCTACAAAACAAAAACCCTGCTCAATGATTAGCACGAAGAAGCACAACTTCAACAACATCTTTGCTGAAACAATACAGCACAGCAGACTCTACTGAGCTGGTTGCTTCGTCCATTAGCTCTCACAGCCTCCTCTAAAACACAGGAAGCCTCATGTTGAAATTATAAAGCAGTCTCCTTGGCAGTGAAATTGATTCCCTAAAGGTGAGCCACAAATCAAAATTCAATTTGCTCTACCAACATGTATTATGTGCCCCTACTAACCATATAAAGAGGGTCATTCAGCACATAAACTAGAAATGCCTTCTGCCCTATCTCGGGTCCCTCAAAGTCAGACACAGCTGCTTTGTTCCCTCTGGCAAGATGATTCAGAACTTCATCAGACCCTAAGGACAAGTATTATTAAATATAGCATGTCATAGTTTCCAAAGGAGTTTTTGTTTTTTTGTATTATTATTATTATTATTATTATTATTATTATTATTATTATTATTATTTTCTGCATCCTTTTTAATGTGGAGACACAGAACAAATTAAATTTGACAAGCTGCCATAATAATGCACTCTTGGGTCCAGCAGCAACGTTCCAATGAAAGTCAGATATCTCATGTCGTAGAATAATGTTGTGATCAGATGGCTAGTACAGGTAATATTTTCAGCATTTATTTAACATGGAACTCTTTTATTTGGCTCTCAAATTATGTTCACGACTTGCTTGGTCATGATCCCAGAGATCGAAGCCCATGCTGACTTCAGATACCTGCATGTTGTTCCTCTTTCAGGAAGCTCTTTAGGATATGTCTGCTCCCTTCTTATTCACCAACAAGAAAAATGAGTACAAAGGATGACATCTGTACTCATTTAAAAGCTGGAGAATGTTAGAGAAGTCCAAAAGGCATGTTTAAAGGACTGTCCACTTAAAATTGCAACAGACATTGCCTATAAGAAGTTTGATTCCAGCTGCACATGCTGTACAAGCTTCCATGTTAAAAATAATCATTTTATTCTTTCTGTTATTAAAATATGTTTCTTCTACCCTGCTATAAGACAGCAGAGCAGTAAAAAAGGAAAAATCTAAAAATGCCTTATTTAAAGCATAATACTATACAATAAAAATAGAATAATAACTTAAAACAGCAAATTAAAACAGAAACCATGCTCACTAAACCTGGTGCCAAGGTGATAATAGCATTGGGACCAATCAAACTTCAATGATGAACCCATTCTAGAAATAGGAGGACACAACAGAGGTGTAGTTGTGTTCTCCTGGTTTCAAAAAAGCTTCCTCTGACTTTCTTAACACACAGCTAGGTTGGTAGAGTGAGAGCCATTCTTTTGTTATTTGGATCCCAAAGAGGGCTAGGGCTTTAAAGATAACGACACTAATCCACAACAACAACTCTAACATTTTCCAAAGGTAAAGGCCATCTGAAGAGCACAGTCCTATGAATTAACATAGTGGATGGACTACAAGCTGCGGCCTTTCTGCTTTCAAATTCATACCATCTTTCTCTGATTTGATGTTTTCTCTGTCATCTTATGAGTTCCCAGTCACAGGAAATAGACATTAGAAGGCACAGATTCAGGCAATCATTTGGGAGGGGAGCATAAAGCTACAAACACAGAAGATGTTCTGGAAGCAAAACCACTAATCATCAGTAACAGCTATCCTTGCAAAGAGGATTCTTTAAGAATACAGTTGATCATATACCCCTAAATCCTGGAAATAGGGCTCCAGAACTCCAGGCTTTAAAACCTCCAGCTTAGAATCATTGAAACAATATCTAAAGCTAGCTCCCAGGCTTCTGGTCTAGTGTTGCCTTGTTCCCATCTCTCTCCTCCATACCTTCCTTAGGGCCTGTTTCTTAGTTTGCTGAAGACCTTGATCT